CACATCACATGGTGAAATGCAAAATTCATAATTAATGCTTTCATGTAAAGACAATGCAATATTTTATTTATATGATTCTGTAATATAGGTGTCTTCCTTGAGCAGCCTGGAAGGGATGGTATTGCCAGTGTCCTGTAGGAATAATAATCACCAATTGCACTTGGCAGCTTCTTCATCTGATCAATAAGGCATGATGAGGTTAAGTGACTTCTATCAGTAGACTTATGATTTATTCTTTGTGCATAACCTGACTGTGAAACCAGTCTTTGGAGCCATTACATCAGCAGCCTTTCCTTTTACTTTATAGAGAAGAGTCACATGGCCATTCAGTCAGATCCCTACTTCCTTTGAACCTGATTCTGTCTGTCTGACAATCAAAATAATTTGTATGAAATCAAAAGGAATAGAATTAAAAAGTAGGCATGGAAAGCCCTGTCACATATCCTAGCTGCTTTGCCCCATTTCTGACATGCCAACTTTCAAGAAGCATAGCCCATGTCAAATTGCTCGGTAATATTTACCTCTCATTTTTTCCGCCATATCAATAACTAGCTCTTGTCATCCTTAAAGTGCTTCTCAAACATTAAATAATCTCAGATTACACACTCTGTTCTTTGCATTTATCTTGACCAGCTGTCAGAGAAGGCAATTTATTCCCTCTCAATTTTATTCCTCTTGGCTCTGTGTGCCTTCTGCAGTTAATTTGAATGGAAAATGAAAGGTACAACTTAGTGTGCTTCATAGCAAGGGCAACACATAATTTTCTTAAAGCCGGATGACCTTCAGATTACTTTCAAATTGCTTATGGCTTTGCGGTTGGATATTCAGAATATATTTTCATCACCTTTGAGTCTTGCTTAATTCCTAAGTGGAAATTTTGAGGACGTAAAGATAAAAAAAAAAAAAAGGAAGAAGAACAATGACAAACATAACAGTATTAACTTTATCATTTTCATCTATTTAAAACTTGTACCATAATTGTATTGACAGAATCATAAAGTGAACGAAAACTTAAAATTCATATTATGTCAGTTTAAAAAATATAAAAGATCATATTTTAACTGGAAATTTGCATAACGTTATGAATTAACATAGCTTCTCATTTTTTTGATCAAAGAAAGGAAAAAATATAAAAAATTGTGTTCCTTCTTGAATTTTCTGCCTATTAAAAATGTGAGCAAAATTCAACTAACTTGTATCAAATCTCAGTAAAATTACTCTTTGAGTTTCAAGATACCAAGCAAGTATGTGTGATGCTGTGTACAGAAAACACTCTGTAACATGCCTACAGAGGTGAATCTGAGGTGCAAAAGCAATTCTTCAGATGTTTTCCACTTACTGGGGATAGAAAGCCTTCCGGAGGTTAAAAAACTGGATGTTAGTGGATAAAAAACATATCAACTTTCAGGTGGGCCACTCCTAAACGCTCATAATTCGTTTACTCTCCTGCAAATCATTATTCCAAAGGTTTGATTCACTTGTAGCTCCACTTGGGTCTTAAATCTCATTTCAAAGCACTTCAATCATTCATCCATTCTAAGAACTACCATTAGGAGTGATGACGCAAAAATCAATGAGAGGATATGATATGAGTTTTTTCTCATTTTTTCTCCTTTAAGTACTACCTCAAGTACAGTCTGTGAAATCTTTCTTATAGGGTATTTTTTTTTTTTCCATCTTGGTATCATCTCCACTAAATTGAGTTCATGAACTTGGGATCTGTTTTCCCATAGGTTTATTTCAGAAAAGAAAGGAGATTTGTTATCACTATTGTTAATTTCTACCTAAAGTTATTTTGAAATATTAATTAATTTATTTACCACTGATGTTCCTTATAGACTTTTTTTCCTTCTCCTACTTGCGATAATCTTACCAACTTTTTAATCTTTTAAAAATATAGGCCAAGATTGACTACTGTTATCTAAAAAATAATTGTACTAGTCCTGTTTGATGATTACCACCTACTAAAATGTACTCTTGAATGTATTTTGATTTTCTTTTTCCTGGGTTATCACAGAATTTTATGTTATTTCTCTTATTTTGTAAAGAGAAGGATAGTACTATTTTATGATTAAAGAAAGAAAAAGCATAGACTTTATTAACTAGGATACTTAATTTTTCATGCAGTCTTTTTCTTTCCCCAATACCTAAAAATTGTGTTATGAATTGGATTTATACTATAAGTATCCTATGTACATATCTGTTTGAAGAGTTCAAACTATTTTTTTAGTTTAAAGAATTCGGTTACACCAACAATGTTTTTACTATAATGAAATCACTTAATCACTTTATTTGCTGTAGATCATCTTTCTCTCAATTTTGCTAATGGGGCAAAATAGCTTCTACTTATATTAATAAATTATAGTATGTGCACCTCTTTTAGAGAAGAAATAAATTAATTGATGAAAAAGGATACTGAGAGAGTCATAGAATTCTTTTTTCGTTGTTGTTACCTGGAAATATTTTAGCCTAATGTACATGCTTATTAAATGGAAACAAATGCCTACATTTATAGAAGAGTTAGTCCTTAAACCTTTGTTTCTGTGTTTAATCCTGCCTTTCTAGCCTTTCTTTAGAGTAATAGGAATAGTCATAGTCAGAGTCATAATCATATCGTTAGTAGTGGAGATGATGATAGTAGTAATGAAGATGGTGATGATGAAATACTAGTAATGTTGTAGTTTAATAGTTGTATTTCCATTTATTGAATAATTACCATGTACCAGGAAATGTGCATGAGTTTGCATGAGTTATTTCTCTACCATTACAAACCTGCAAATTGAGCCTTTCCGGTCTTATTCATCAGATATAGATGCTTCTCACTCAGAGGTGTAGTGTAATAGTGACCTTCTGGCCATTCAAGTGATGCAGGGAAGAGTCAGGAGTTAATCCCAATCTCTTTTCTCTAAAACTCATGGCATAACATTTTGCTTTACTGTTTCTATGCAAAAACTAGACTTAACTGAAAGGAAGACTTGGGAAGGCAGAGTAAGAGATTGTCAGATGGAAAGGAGAACTTTAATTCCACTCTGAGGCCCTCAAGGAGCACAAAGAGCTGCTTTTCATCCTGAGAGACTAAAATCTTTCTATTATTATTCATCACATTCTATGAGTAACTACAACTACTCTTTCTGGTTAGGCAAAATTAAGTTTATGAAAAATGTTAAGGAAATTTGAACTTTAGATTTGCTTTTTCTATACAAGACACAGAAATGTTGCAAATTTAAAATGAATAATAGAACTGAAACAATGTAATTATGTATATTAGAATATGATCAATGAAAATTTTCTCTTTCTTGATATGTAATTCTTAAATTATTATAGACAATGCAGTCCATATTAGTCTATATGAAAATATTTTATCTCTACTTCTGGCAAAAATATGTGAATTGATAGAGACTTTTTTCTCCTAAGTATTCAATTATTTACTTCACATCTGTGTAATTTGGGATTCAAAATGCTATTAAGTCGCTTTAATTTTCTGGTTGAACTTTAATTGTTCTTAAATGTAACATGAAATGATTGTTTCAGATGATCTCTAAGTGACCTCTAGATTTAACTTTCAATGAGTCAAGGGTGGTGATGATAATCAGATATATCTGTTCTATCTAGAGGGGGACATTAGCAATACAACGGCAACAACTTCATAGGAGAAAAATGAAAGAGTTACAAAATGTATTAAATGTTCATTCTGCATATTAAAAATACCATTAAAAGGAAAAGGTAAACAATCAAAGGAGAAGATTGCAACATAAAGTTTAGATAAAGTCTTACTATCTTATGTGTGGATACAACTTTATAAAGAACCAAAAGGAGGTTTATAGAAAATAGAGGAAAAAAAAAACCTGTAAGGAAAGAAATGCAAAGGAAAAATAAACATATGGAGTGTAAAGGAAATGCAAAGGAAAAATAAAGCTCATCTTTAGTAATCAAAATATTGCAAATAAAATTCAAATTTCCTCTTATGTGATTGCAAATATCTTAAATACTGGTAATACTTAGTATTGTCAAGTATAAAGAAATAAGACTATTGGCATGTACAATTTTCAAAAATATATTAACTTTCAAATGAATATATATATTCTCTAATGGCACAATCTCTTTTAAGAGATTGTGTAATTTGTCCCAAAAATTCTATATTTAGGAATTTCTCCTAAAATAACAAATATTAATCTATGTTGAGAAAATTTCTGCCATGTCCCAAAGTAGGAAATTTTTTGACTAAATTATGCACTGTCATAAAATGACATGCCATGTAGTCACTTACATGATATTTTAAGAAGTACATGATGACAAGAGAGCATGCTTATTATACATTGCCTAGTTAAAAAACATAAAGGACAGTGTGATGATGACTTGTCAAATAAATCATATTTATATATTTATATGTATGTCCAAAAGATTATGTGCAAATAGAACAAATTAACAGTAGTTATTTCTGGATGGTGAAATTTAAAATGATATTTACCTATTTATTCATTTATTTTGTTATTTTTATATTTTTTGAAATTTTTCTAATGAGCATGTAAACTCTTAAATCAGGAATAAAAAAATTACTGGATATAATAAGATTTCCCAACATTATTCTCTTAGATGTTCTGTGCCCCCACCCCACCCCCAAAAAAACCCCAAACAACAATAACAACAAAAAACCAGGAATGACCTCAATAGAAGGGTCAAACATGCATTTAAACCAAGATATCCAGAAGATGTTTCATCCATTTCAAGTATTTTATCACTATTTTGATTCTCAGCCAGAGGACTTGGGAGATGAGAAATGCTGATTATATGAGCATATGGGTTTCAGGGTGAAGGGTAAAAGCTGAGGAAGACATAATTTGGCAATGGGCAAGGAGGGATTGTCCTGCCACTGAAGAGTTGTGCTCTAATGTAGGAAATGGGATAAACATCTTATAAAACACCCAGATAGTCTGTGTTTTTTGTCATCAATATTTGATGTGAACTTCTAAATGTTATTTTCCTTTCAAATGTTTGATTAGGAAATGCATCTACAATCACGACTGTGATAGACAGCAAGAATGGATCTGTGCCCAAATCCCCTGGAAAAGTGCTGAAGAGAACAGTCACAGAAGACATAGTGACGACATTCAGCTCCCCTGCAGCCTGGCTTCTGGTCATTGCTCTGATAATCACATGGTCAGCTGTTGCCGTTGTTATGTTTGATTTAGTGGATTACAAAAACTTTTCAGGTAAGATGCACAAAATTTGGCTTTTAGCTTAAAAGAAACAATGTTCTCCCCAGTTCTAGTTTTGTTTCTCTTCACACCATTTTAGTGTAAGAAATAAAATATGCCATGAATGTGCTTGAGGGTCACTGAAATCATTTTCTTTCTTCTTTTTTTCTATTTTCTTTCTTTGTTGTACTCATTGATTTCTAGTGACTTTGATATTCTTATTTTAGAGCTGAGCAAAGGCTAAATGTTGCAATTTCACAAAAATACTGATTAAAACGCTTAGGTGAAGATTCAGTTGCTGGACTGGTACTTTGTCAAGCATTAATAAAGAATAATACATAGGCTTTACACTGGCAATATGAAACCAAACGAAACAAAAAACTTTTAGATGAATGGAAGATATTATTAAGTACTTTAAAGTCTCTCTGTCATTTGCCCCCAACCTTCTTTTCCAGACATACTTTTTGCTCCTCCCACCAAACCATCCTATTTTGAGTTTCTGAAAATAAAGGATGTTAAAAGGATTGTCCCAGAATTAGTTGTAATGAAAGATTACATCTTGAGTGTTATGTATCCTTATGGCTTTGGAGTAAATAGGACTAATACAAGTTAGAAAACATAGATTTTCTTTATGGCCCATCCAGTCTTTGAGTACATTGTTTTTTTTTCTTTGTCCAAAGACTTTTTGTATTTTTAAAATCATATTTATCTATTTCCGCATCTGGAACTCTCTATTAATGGTGAGTTCCTTGAGAAAAGGAATCAGTCAGGTACTTAATAAACATTAATAAACATAAAAAATCACTTTTTACCACAAGCAAAAACATTTCATTAACCTTTTAATGTGCTCTTTCATATATACTGTTCCTTCCCCTATTTTCTTTCTCCAATAGGAGTAGAATCAGTAGGGACCAGTTACTATAAATACTATAATTAATGACATTCTGTATATCAGAGATCGCCGATTTCTCATTATGGAATTTTACTCATTTAACAATTACTTATCTGGTATTTACTATATATGTCAGGAAATGCTTATGCTACGTATGTCAAAAGAAATACAGTATAAATATGGTGAAATCATAGAACTCTGTTATTTGGCTTTTTTGGCATGGGAATGTGGTTGAGGTGACTCTGCCAGCTGTATCAGTGGTAGCTAAAGTCGACATCGTCTAACTGGTGGAAGTCTCATGCTGTCAACCAAACCAAAAAGGCTATTCATTTAGAGCCATAAATGTCTGCTCTAAGTAGGCAATAATTTTAGTATAAAATGTAATGTAAGCTCTTAAAAAATACAGTTGAAATGCCTATAATATAAAATGATGACTGAGAATTCTAAGTGAAAAACACTTGGTTACATTACTCCAGATAATTTTATTTCCCTTGACACTACATTGACCACAGTATTTCGCTATCAGATGAAATGCCAGTGACACAGGCGTTGTCTGTAGCACTTAGTTACACTGGTCCAGTGGAAACTCCACTGCGGATTGTAAGTGTGCCTTCCATTTAAGTTGTCTAATCTGAAAACCTAAATAGAGATAGCTGTGCTGTGCATTTTCAAAAAAGAGCAAACTTTTTCTCATGGTAATTTCTGTAGTACACTTATAAAATTGTTAACTCTACAAAGATTTACATTCAATTCTTAAAATATACCTATTTAAGGTATATGAATGAAAGAACTATAATTTATGATCATATTTGGTTCTAAAGTTTAAGCAAATTATTGCTTCAATAAGAGTTTCATAATGTAAAGGAAACTCATGTTTCTTATGTTAATTTTAACATCAAATTTTAATATCAAATTTGAATTGATACAATTCAAACTTTTGCTAGGGCTTAATATTATTATCGCTATGAGTTTTTTGTGGTACACAATAGTCTTAGAAACAAGTAATTGCTATTGTTTAAAAAAACAAGACCAGAGGTAGAAGAAAGCATGATGGAAATGATTCTGAAGGCCAGGGAGTGCAGCTGTTGTTGGGTCTTAAATTACTCTCTGGCACTTTAGGAAAGTAGGTAAATACTTTGAAGTCATTAAGAAATTGTTCATAGAGGAATGAAAATCTATCTTCATAAGCACATACTGTACTGAATTGAGAAGAATGATTCTCCTCTGGGCAACCTTCATAATTCCTTATTTACAGAATTTGATCTGATTTACTGGTATATTATCTACTGTGGAGCACGTGCAGAATTGGCTTTTATGTGCTTCTTTCATAAAATTAGGGTTCTCTCTATAGCTCTATAACCTATAAGCTAGCATGACTAGAAACAAATTTCCTTGTCTATGAAATGGGGGTAGCACCTTGCTTTGTATGCCACAAAATCTGTGACTTTGATGTTCCTTATCATATAAGACAAATTTGAGGGCACCAGACTAACAAACAGGGAAAGAGATTTCACCTGTCCTTCATTTGTTACTAAATATTAATATAACATCCAAACAATAGTCAAATAATATTATGGTGTAATTGTCAGGGTTTGGTCATAGTAGCCAAATCACTCCGCATGATATAAAATAGCGGATTTATTACATGGATTATGAATTCCTGGCAGCTGACTAAGCCATCTACTTCAGGCTGTTGCAATGGATCTGGCACTGAGTTGAAGGTTAGCAGGGTGGAAATTGGGAAGGGCAGATGCACAGAATAGGGGAGACTAAGGGCAAACTGGACCTGACAGGGACAAACTAGAACCCTCATTTGTCTCTTACCACTTCAAATTACAATGATGTAGATGAGCTACAGGATCAATTAGTGCCCTTCACCACAAACTGTGCACACACCTAGCCAGGATTTGGAGATGCTAAAGGAGCCGACCCAATGGGAGCTGGAGTGATGTGCAGCTGTTGCCACATCTACACACATTACACACATTACACACATTAACAAGGGCATCTACACACATTAACAAGGGCATCAGCGTATCTGGGATCCAGTGCATGAGCTGCAAAAGCACCTGCCCCACACTAGCCTTTAAAGAATAAACAGTGGCTTCACTATTACTTCCCTTTTGCCTTTCAGAGCTAGCATAAATTTCTCTTGTGTCCAAATGTTATCTGGAAATTCACATATAAGGGAATCCTGGGAGCTGTAGTACCAGCTTACTGATTTGACAGTGTACAAAGTCATCGTATAGGACAGCTAATAGAATTTATCATCCAAAACAAGATACCTGTGAGAATGAAATGGAGAGCAATTCAAATTCACCTTAGGACAAGAAACACAAACCAAGATGTGTGATCTCCCTATTATCTACTACGTTGCCTTTAGTTTTGTCCTGAAAGATGAATGCTTCCAGAAAAACCAAGAGGGGCAGAGTAACATTGCTGTCTTAGTAAATGGAGGCTAAGAGCTCAAAAGGGCTGCTGGAGGTCTTTGGCTGCTGGCTCCAAAACTTTTGCAGATTCAGCCAAGTAGCCCTTCCAGAAAATGGAGGGGTGCCCTGACAATTTATAACTCTTTCAGGACCAGAATTTGTGGGCTTTGGTTGAACTTCCTTACAAACTTCTTTTGTTTTATTTATAAAGGGACACTTTTCTCTCTAACTGATAAGAAATGCAAACAAATAGAATCTTAAATGAATACAAACTAAGGCTTTAGTAGAGGTTAATGATTTTCTCCTAGGTCAGAATGTACAGGAATAAATAGTAGTAACTCTTAGGTTTTCTTACCTCAGAACAAGGATCATAGTTTATTAGCATCTTCATCCATATGAGAAAATAAAAAACCATTATATAGTTTTACTACTCTGTCTCAAAACACATTTGGTAAGTTTTGCAAGCATTCTACAAAACATACTTGTTTCAAACCAATTTTGTGAGAGTTAGATAAGATAATATATGTAAAACATACATGCCTGGCACATAGAAGGCACTCGTTAAATGTAACTTGAATTTAAATCTTATTACTGGTAAATAAAATCAGTAATCTGAGAATATAGCCAGAAAGGACATGATGGTAGGAAGCATCAATTTCTTATGAAAGTCTTGCAGCCATCTCCTGATGTGCTTTTAAATAGATTTTCTAATGAGGTGTGCCATTTATCTACCGCTCTTGGAAATTAATTTCCCTGATATTTTTTTTCTTTCTTTGGCACTTAGCCCAGTTAAGCAGGTGCACTGTTTGTCAGGCTAGAAGCTTAGCAGAGTGAAATCATTTAGGGAAGGCCCAAAGTCAGTCAGAAAGTAAAAATTTAATATTGAATTACATTATATATATATATGTATGTGTATACTATATATGAATATGTTGTTACATTTTAGGAGACTTGAAAGACTGAGACACTAAATGCAACATTTTAAACACTGTCAGTTCTTGTGTGTACTAAGTTTTGAAGAATAGTTGACATTTTATGTGCTTCTTACTCTGATTCAAGTCTTATCTCAATTACCATATTTTGTGATCAGTGTCCCAGGCCTATTTGGTCCTCTTGGTCACTACACTTAAAAGAATGCATTTTATTACTGAACTCCAGTCTGCCTGTGAGTGCTTTAAGGAAGCAGAGAGCTCTGTAATTCAATGATTCCCAGACCCTAATAAAAGTTATTGATCCCCCATGAAATGAGGAAACAGATAAAGAAAATATATTCATGTTAAAGAAGAGTTCTTAATTCTTAGATTATATGTTCCTACATTTTTTTGTCTTAACATTCTCTTTTGAAATTATGGTAAAACCAGATATTGTTTTTAAATGTAATTGTTTTACGAAATAAAAATTTGGCAATTCTGTTAGAACTCCCAGTTTTTCATGGGGGTAGATTTCAGGGTCAAGATATCCAAAAGTCTGAAACCAATGCTCTATACCACTTATTTGAACCTTAGCAAATGAGATCTTATGTTGGGATTTATAAATCTATCTATAAAATAAATACAATTATAAATTGTACCAGCCATTACTACTCTAGTTTTTGAAAGACTAGTCTTTATACATCCTTTGGTGTTATGCCTAAATTTACATCTCTAGAGAATTCTTTCCTGAACCTCCAATGTAAATAAAGTCTTTCTATCAAA